GCCAATAATTGATTTTATAAAAGCAAGTGTTTTGCGCTCTGCTTGGGGACGAACAATACTAAGGTAGGGGCAGTGTTACGACAGCGGAAGTCAGGTGACGCTGGGAGCATGCACGCTGGAGTTTCTAGAAGGATCATGACTTTTCCTGGCAACTCTAGTCTGTTCCAGGTGCCCTCGTTTTTAGTATATAAGCCCGGCAAATAAAGCGGAGAGATAATTGCAGATAGTTAGATATAGAGACAGATAATTGATCAAGCGAGCGGTAGTGACGGTAATATAAAATGTGTTTTATATTGCAAACGTAATGCCTGTGGAAATTCTGTGTATTACAAAGTTGTATCAAGAAAGAATAAACTAGTTTCAATTAAGAAAGGACTTGTATCGCTGAAGTTTCTCGGAAAGAATTTCTACGGGAAAATATCAAACAAGCAGATACATAACAGTATTATGAAACTGACATTAGCTTCCCCTAGTGGTATTGTACAGACTAGACTTATGTCTAGTCACGGTATTGTTATTGATGCTGAAGTGGTTTAATTTCAGAATATTGTTTCTTTTTTTGTAATTAGAATTATTATTCTGTTTTTTTGTATGTTTGTTTGTTTTTAATTATGCACAAAGCTACACAAGGGCTTTCTGTGCTCTGCCCACCACGGGTATCGAAACCCGGTTTCTAGCGTTGTAAGTCCGCAGACATATCGCTGTGCCACTGGAGGGGGGGGCTTTTTTCTTTGTAATTCCTTTACTTATTGAAATAATTATTAACCTTGCTATTTATGTTGTATTGCTCATTTTTGTTAGCATCAAGTCCTGGGCAGGCACTTGTTGAATTAACTGTGTTTTGATTTTATATAAATTTTAAATTCCAATTGTTTGAAAGATTCATTTTGTATTTCTGTAATTTTCACAGTTTAACAAATTCTTTTTTTTTGTTTGTTTGACCGTACTTGTAGTGGCTGTTTTTTTTTGTTTTTTTTTGTCTATTAAAAGTTCACCTTGTTTTGTTTTTTAAAGCAGCACACCTTTTTACTTACGCATGACAACCTACTCTGTTTCTAAACAGAATAATTCACCTTGTTTTTTAACTAATGTATTTTCTTTTAAGGAAAGCGGCACACCACGTTTTTAAACAGAAAAGTATAACTTGTATTTAAATAAAAGGTATACTTTGATTTTTAAAAAAAGCAGTAAACATTGTTCCAAATTCACCAATTTTGTTTTTTCTTTTTATTCTCCTCAATTTTAAATGTTCAAAAGACCTTATTTAAGTTCATATGTCATTTCAATGCATCTTCTGCATGCTTTGAATCACTATAATCCTAGATGATGGATAAGAAACTGCTTCTACCTGTCAGCACTCAGGGTGTCATCAATTATGCGTAGCAGCTAACACTATTGGCTGAGGTGCTGAACACAGTTGTATTAGCCCCCTTGTATGCTTCTTTCTGGATGATGTACATTGACTATGACATCATTCTCTTCTCTGCCATTGAACAAATTATCACATTTTGTTTTTCGCCAAATAATTTGTATTTATTTGTTAATACACCTTTATCCAGCTTTACGTATTCCATTGTTTGAAGTTTAATGCCTGTTTCAGCTCTTTGGTTTGGTTATCTCTCCTAAACAATAGATGTTTGAGCAGCCACACATCCTCGAAGGCCACTTTATACAGACGTTTATCTTACTCTTTTGAAGGTGACACTCTTGTACTTATAACTTGGTCATTGTCAAGGTCTTTACTGGATTGTTATGTATCATGTAAGTATCCTGAGGTAATTATAATCACTTGTGAAGAGTTTGTGCTTTCTACCTCAGCTACTTCTATTAAAAACAATACCCACTTCAGAGTTTCTACACAGCTCCTATTGAAACACGGAGTAGCCTTTACTAGCTAAACCACTGATTTCTACGTATTTTTATGTAGAGTTTCTGTTTCTGTGTTAATGCAACCATCATACTGCTGGGAAAAGTATGACTGCCTATTCTTTTATAAGCATTATGCTTCTGTGGCAGTTTCTGACTTGGATGACAACTAATCATAATGTAAACTATCAACACGTGAAAGTACTCTGGTGCAGTTAATTTTCATACACTAAATAGTTCATTATATTTACATCTTAGTCATTGTTTTCATAGTTATTAACAGTACTTGCTGTCTAATTATCTGTTAATTTTTTATTGAATTTCGCTGCAAATTCTGATATAGGAAAGTCTACCTTCTAACAGCACTGGTGTTTTTCTTCTATTTTCTTGTTCAGTGATTAATCTAACTTATGATCTTATGTGACTTCTTGGTTTTGCAATAACGTTTGACATTATATACTATTTCTACTTTATTAATCTCATCTTTATAACTATAGCTCTGCAATACAGTCTACCAATCTATCTTTATCATCTTTTCTAAAGAAACATAAATGAACCTACCAGTCTAGTTTCATAATGTCTTCCCTATCAAACCTAAATCAACCTACCAGTCTAGCTTTGTAATATCTTCTTTCTTTAATATAAACAAACCTACTTTGTAATACTTTCCTTATTTGACCTAAACCAACCCAACAGTCCAGCGTTGTAATATCTTCTTTATCTAACCTAAACCAACCTACCAGTCTAGCTTTGTAGTATCTTCTTTATTTAACCTAAACCAACCTACCAGTCTAGCTTTGTAATATCTTCTTTATTTAACCTAAACCGACCTACCAGTCTAGCTTTGTAATATCTTCTTTATTTAACCTAAACCAACCCAACAGTCCAGCGTTGTAATATCTTCTTTATTTAAACTAAACCGACTTACCAGTCTAGCTTTGTAACATCTTCTTTATTTAACCGAAACCAACCTACCAGTCCAGCTTTGTAATATCTTCTTTATCTAACCTAAAGCAACCTACCAGTCTAGCTTTGTAATATCTTCTTTATCTAACCTAAACCAACCTACCAGTCCAGCTTTGTAATATCTTCTTTATCTAACCGAAACCAACCTACCAGTCCAGCTTTGTAATATCTTCTTTATCTAACCGAAACCAACCTGCCAGTCCAGCTTTGTAATATCTTCTTTATCTAACTTAAACCAACCTAACAGTCCAGCTACGTAATATCTTCTTTATTTAACCTACTATTCTAACTTTGTAATAGCATCCCTATCAAACCTAAACCAACTGAACACTACACCCTTGTCATTTCTCCCCTAACAAACAAGTATTTTAAAAGCATGTTTGATAAATATCTGATCTAAAAAAACACATGAAAAGAATGGATCAACATTTTCAGTTCATGGAAACAATTCTACAAAAACTATATAATAAAAACGAAAAACTTACCTGCATTCCTGTTTTGTCATTTTGGATGGATCGTTACATGAAAAGAATTTGCCCTAAAAGTAAAAATAAAAACTTCAAAAGTTACTTCAGCACAACCAGTAGAAAACAGGAATTTGTCATGATCTAAAAACTTGAATAATGATTAAAACAAAACCATACATCTCAAAGTATTTTAAGAAACTACATACCTTGAAAAGCTGTACTCCAATAACAGCAAACATGAAGTTAAGGAGGACAGTCACCAACATGATGTTACCAATAGTTTTTACTGCTACTATCACACACTGCACTACATGCTGAAGAAAGAATAAGATCACAAATGTAATATGAAGTTTACATAACTCATAAAATAAGTAAATACATTCAACGTTTCAAAATGCACAATGACTTATTGTACACGTTAAAAGTAAAATATACAATCAAAAAATCTATCTGCTTTGGTGGGAAAAAGTTCCACCGGCTTCAAGAGACCAAAGGAACACAAGAAATTTAATTTCTTATTTTTATACCAGCAACTTTATGTGTATACAATGCATATTATACATGTTTGTTTGATATAACATGGATGTAGTACTGAACATAGTTGCTAATACTTGAAACATTGGGTGTAATATTGAATGTACTGTTTGTTTCATAGAGCAATGGATTTAGTATTCAACACAGTGTATGTTTGATACAACAACGGATGCAGTACTGAACGTAGTGTTTGTTTGATACTACAATCGAGACAATATTGAGCAAGGTGATTAATACTGTTACGTATCTTCTTGTTTGTTTGTTTCCGGTAGAAATTCTTACCGAGAATCTTCAGCAATACAAGTCCTTTCTTGATTAAACCACTTTACTCTTCCTCGATACAAACTTTTAGTACACAGTAGTTCCACAATCAATACGTTTCTCGTCACTTTCAACTTAACAACTTTTATAATACACGCTTTAAATCACAACGTTTCACAATCTCGATAACTTCGCTTTCGACGAGTGCAAAACACACACTTTACGGCTTACTAGCTCGAAACTAACAGAATCATAAATTACACCGAACTCAAAGTAACTACTGCTCTCTCTTCATTTATCTCTCCACTGGCTTTCACTGCCAGGCTTATATACTAATGAAGAGGGCATCTCGAACACACTCGGACTTCCCTGATCATTCGAGAAACTCATCACACACGCCACCAGCACCAACGCGCCAGCATCGTCATGTGACTTCCGCTGTCGTAACAATACATACAACAATGGTTGCATTACTGAACGTACTGTTTGTTTGATAGAAAGATCGGTATGGTACTGAACATAGTGATTATTACATACAACATTGAATGTAATACTGAACAACCTGTTTGTTTAATACAGCAATGAATACAGTGCTGAAATAATTGCTTGCTTCCTACAACAATGAACACAGTACTGAACAAAGTGTTTGCTTCATACAACAATGAACACAGTACTGAACAAATTGTTTGCTTCATACAACAATGAATGTAGAACTGAACATAGCTTTCGTTTGATTTAACAATAAATGCACTACTGAACATAGTGCATGTTTTATACAACAACAGATGCAATACTGAACCCAGTGTATGTTTGATACGACAACAGATGCAGTACTGAACGTAGTGTACCTTTGATGCAACAATGAATTTGGTTTTAAACAGAATGACATATAATCATTTGCGAAGTAATGATAAATAAGATAGCACCAAAGGTGTATGAGAGATAAATATAATAATAACAAGTAAGTATAGTAATGTTAAATTAAATAAATAAACATCAAATAGCATTAAATATTTTTTGTTCTTGCTTCCAAATGGATGGGAGTTCTAACCAAAGAATGACATCCTAATACTTTAATGCAGCACACCTGTTCATGATCATGTTACACACACACACACACACACACACACAGATATATATATATATATATATAGAGAGAGAGAGAGAGAGATGAATATATAAAAATATCTCCAACTGTTTTAAAACAGCACACCCATATCCAGTAATGGATTCGTGTAACGACAACAAAACACTGTTCATTATTTCGTACTTATGAATTTTGAAAACAGTTATGTTAAACAGGACCTCATTTAAAGGCACATTGCGCACAGGAACCTCCAATCTACTTAGTTCACAGATGGACTACAGCCCATCAAGACATTTGTCATAGCAGTGTATTCTAGGCGACAACTCTCATGTTGCCTTGAGCTCAAAGAACAGAGACACCATGCAATCTCTGGAGGATAGGTCTGGAATTCCAGTACTACTCTGTGCTGCAGATGGATAGGTCTGGAATTCAAGTACTTCTCTGTGCTCCAGATGGATAGGTCTGAAATTTCAGTACTTCTCAGAGCTGCATTTGGATGAGTGTCGAATTCCAGTAATCCTTTGTGCTCCAGGTAGAAAGCTCTGGAATTCCAGGATTACTGCTTGCTCCAGATAGATGGGTGTGGAATTCCTTGGATGATCCTGGTAAAGGGGTCTGGATTTCTATAGCTGTGTCATGCTAAGCGAGAAGAGTACCACAGTACTATAACTAGTTCGAACTTGATCCACAATTGGTATTCATGTTGGTTATACACTACACAGATGATATGTCAAATAGTCCGTCACTTGGGTTATATGCTACACAGATAACATGTGAAAGACTGTTCCACTTGGGTTATACCCTACACAGATGACATTGACAAACAGTGTATCACTTGGGTTTTATCCTATACAGATGCAATTTCAAACAGTGTACCGCTTTGGTTATACCCTACACAAATATTTCATGGTAGTCGTCTATTAAGTGGGGAAATTGTCAAACCGTGACATTAAATATTTGGTGAACATTTCTGAGACAGTTAAGTGACATGTTATACAACATCCTAAATTACCTATAGAACTAAAACTTAAACTCACTCTTTTAACACCTTGCGATAACTTTCTGTATAAAGATGAAATATAAAGAAGATAATTTGATTAAAGGAAAATCCATTCTCTGAACAGTAATAGAGGTTGGCCTAATTGGAAACATGGTAAGTGCTCTACTATGATGCAACTTACACGATGAAAAGTTGAGAAGGGAAAGTCACTTCTTTACACTAAGTTGCAGATTGAAAAGTTAATAAGAGACATTTATTTCCTAACACCACCTTACAGATTGAAAAATTGATAAGGAACAGTTACTTCCTAACAACAAGTTGCAGAATGAAAAATTGATAAGGAACAGTTACTTCCTAACAACAAGTTGCATATTGAAAAATTGATAAGGAACAGTTACTTCCTAACAACAAGTTGCAGATTGAAAAGTTGATAACGAACAGTTACTCCATAACAACAAGTTGCAGATTGAAAAATTGATAAGGAACAGTTACTTCCTCACACCAAGTTTCAAATAGAAAAGTTGATAAGGAACAGTTACTTCCTCACACCAAGTTTCAAATAGAGAAGTTGATAAGGAACAGTTACTTCCTCATAGCAGCTGGCTTAGTCAAAAGTTGAGAAGAGAGAGAGTTTTTTCATTTTTTTCATATTAAGAGATGGTTTGATTTTTTTTAGCGTGAAATCTTCAAAGAAAGATTAAAGTTCCTCAGATACAGAATCTTATTTTGATCTCAAGATATTCGTTGGCAGTATTCGAAAATGACAGGAAGAAATAGGGTGTGTAAGCCTATAATGGAAGGAAGAAATAAAGCTCCTCAAGTTTATAATAAAGAAAATAAGTAAACACATTTTATAAATACTGGATTCTTAAGGAGAAATATGAGCATCGGAACTTCTGTTTTAATAGCCTTCTTACTTTGCTACATGTAAAACCTTTAAAGGTGTTATAAACTACTCTAGAAACGACTACGAATATGGGAGTAAAAAGATTGAATTCAGATAGTTGATTGGGAAATCGTTAAGAGACAAAATTCCTCGGAGAGGAGGATAGGGAAGGATGTGTTTAAACATTGGTGATAAAAATCACTCAAGCTGCAGCTTTTTTATTCTTTTATTTTTCTACAACATTCCTCTTAATTTGTACATCTTTGATTCCATATCAGAGACTTGTAAAAATAGTAGGATTATATAATTTCTATCTCACCAACCAGCCTGTATGGAAAGGCTTTGTTTTCAATGACCTGTGGAAGGCTGAAGATATTTCTGAAATGCTATTTTTATAAACCTCTGATTTTAAATCCGAAATGAAAAGAAAAAGAATTAAATAAGAAGGCTTAGTTATTTTTAGTACAGGTTTAGTTCAGCCTTAGTTGTGTTTAGTACAAATTTATTTGAATTGTTTAGTACAAGATTAATTGTATTGTTTAGTTCAGGTTTAGTTATGTTTGGTACAGGTTAAGTTATGATTAGTACAGGTTTAGTTATGTTTAGTTATGTTTGGTACAGGTTAAGTTATGATTAGTACAGGTTTAGTTATGTTTAGTAGAAGTTTACTTGTAATATTTGGTATTAGTACAGGATTAGTTGTTATGTTTAGTACAGGATTAGTTGTTATGTTTATTAAAAATTAATTATTATCTTTAGTTCAGGTTTAGTACAGGATTAGTTGTTATGTTTAGTAAAAATTAATTATTATCTTTAGTTCAGGTTTAGTACAAAATTAGTTATTATGTTTAGTACAGGATTAGTTGTTATGTTTAGTACAGAATTAGTTGTTATGTTTAGTAAAAATTAATTATTATCTTTAGTTCAGGTTTAGTACAAAATTAGTTGTTATGTTTAGTACAGGATTAGTTGTTATGTTTAGTACAGGATTAGTTGTTATGTTTAGTTCAGGTTTAATTGTTATGTTTAGTTCAGGTTTAATTGTTATGTTTAGTTCACGTTTAATTGTTATGCTTAGTTCACGTTTAGTTGTTATGCTTAGTTCAGGTTTATTTGATATGTTTAGTAGATGTTTAGTTGTGATGTTTAGCTCAGGTTACGTTGTTATGTTTAGTTCAGGTTTCATTGTTATGTTTAGTTCAGGTTTATTTGTTATGTTTAGTTCAGGTGTAGTTGTTAAGTTTAGTACAGGTTTCGTTGTTACGTTTACTTCCGGTTTCGTTGTTATGTTTAGTACAAGTTTAGTTGTTATGTTTAGTGTAAGTTTAGTTGTTATGTTTAGATCAGGTTTCCATGTTATGTTTAGTACAGGATTAGTTGTTATGTTTAGTACAAAATAAGTTGTTATGTTTAGTACAGGATTAGTTGTTATGTTTCGTTCAGGTTTACTTCAAAATTAGTTGTTATGTTTAGTACAGGATTAGTTGTTATGTTTCGTTCAGGTTTACTTCAAAATTAGTTAATACGTTTAGTACAGGTTTAGTTG